GTGGGTGGAATGGGCTATTCCCTCCACCAAGCTGAAGGGACTGGCTTCCCTGGATGATTTCTTCCTGCTGCCAGTCAGTGTCTAAAAAGGGTGGGTGTGGGCATTTCTGGGAGGCAGGAAGACAGAGTGAGTGGTTAAGATGTCAGGCCCTAGATAACCTGATTTGAATTCAGGCTACACCCTTTACGTGGATTAATATATGTACAACACTCAGAGCAGGGTCTGAATGTCAGAGGGGCTCCGGAAAGTTCAGCAGTCCTTGTCAACACGGTATTAAACAGACTGCATGAACTTGCTTTTTTATCTTTTATTGTCTTCATCACCCTGTTAACTCCCCTAGAACAAGGGTCTTCCTCGCTTATGCTCACAGATATATCCCAAGGGCCTAGGATACAGGGATACAGTAGGTGCTCCATAAATATCTGCTGTCTTAGTTACGCGCTTTGAGCCAGGAAACAAGTGCAGAGCTGAGCTGGGCGCAGGGCTCTTCTGTGAGATTCTGTGGGCAGGGAGGTGTCCCTGAGGCTCTGTGGCCCCCATTTCCAGGTTGGATTGGAGACAAGGGACTTAGGTCAAGCCACAAGTAGGGACACCTTTCGCACGGCAGTAGCAAGAGGGCTGGCAGCTTACCCAGGTGCTCAGAGAGCCCCGATGGCACCCCTCCCCTTTGGGCAATCCCCTCTGACTTCAGTAGAAACCAAAACCCTGCTGAGTTTTAAGATCCAAAGCTATCTGGGCAAAGTACTGGGGACTCTCTGTCGGGGTAGTGGGATAGAGGGCCGAACCCACAGCCCAGGCAGAAAGCCCTTCCTCTCTCTTGGCCAGGTGACTGCGTGACAGAGAAACCTCTCCTGCTGGGGAGACAGGACGTTGGAGGTGGATCTGTCCCTGGGCCCCCACCTCCCAAGATGCAGAGACACACTGAAGACATCAAGGTTCGCACAGAGGAGGGGGCAAACTAGAGCCAGAGCTTTTGTCCAAGACCCAAAGACCCACCCAGCCTCCCTCCCTTCTCCCTCCCTGCTTTCAGGAAGTGTTCCAAGCTTAACCCCCGCGGTTCACATGCACAGAAGCACACTCTGCCTGCCCCGCTGCCCTCACGTCTGCCCTCCCCAGCAGCTGTTCACCTCCCCGTTCCCTCTGCCCCTGTCAGACCCTCCATCTGTCTTCACACCTCTGGTGGGAACTTCTGGGCAGGCCTCTGCCGTCCTCCCAATTTATCATGTCGGCCTCTTGGCCCTGAGGCATAGGGGGAGGCCTCCCCGGGGGGATCTCCTGGGGTCTCTTGATTTTAGCTTCAGGGAAACCCTGAGCTGGACGGAGGGATGAGGGTTTGACTCAGGAACTTCCAGACAATGGTGGACAACACAGCACCTGACTCCAAAGGCTTCTAACCATGGGGGGATGTCCCCCCTCAATCTGACTGCTCGCATCAGTGGGTCAATTCCTCCCCCTCTTCCCTCCCTCCTCACCCTTTAAGCCCATCCCTGAAGCCGCTCTGAGGGTGGGGCCCCTTATTTGCTGGCCTCTCCCCTGCCCTGTGACAAAAGTCCTGCTTTGGGGATAAACGTCAGCCCACAGTGAGACAGGCGTGGGCTGGGAAGAACAGTGGTCAAAGCATCAGGTGCCCTAGACTCTGGCCTGGCCAGTGTGGACCTGGAAGGTGAGATAGCTGGCCCCTCTTCAGCTTCTCAAGGAGGCTCCTCTGTACTTTTATACTGCAGGCCAGACCTGGACCACATTTTGGGGTGTGGACACTTCGAGTCTTGGCAGCGTTTTCACCCAGCCAGCTCTGG